GGCAGACTAATTCTGCAGAGGAAAGAAATTGTTGAGTTAAAAGGCGGTTTGTTGCCTGCACTGAACACATGGCTTTGAGATTGGCTACCTAATGAACAAACGTTTAAAATTAAAACCCTTTTTTCTAAAGTCTGCTTTTTGTAACTGCTCTGAATACCAGTATCAAGAAAGGCTCACACATGAGCTTTACAAACAAAATTAAAGTATTTACTGAATGAAAATAACATGTCATAAATACACTAAAATGCATTTATTAGAAATGTAAACATTGCCCCCTTTCTTTCTTAAGAAATAACTGTTTGTTTCCCATTTCAGCCACTGATTGTCTTCTCAGACTCTTTTTCCATCCTTTTAATATAAACTACAGTAAGTAAGCAACATGCCTTTTTGTATATTACCAGATCTGAGCTACAGGGTTCATAATATCATAAATATAAGCCTTAAGAATTTGAAACTTCTTCAAAATGTGTAAGTATGTGTCGAAGGGAGAAAGAACAAATAATCTCTCTCTTGGGGAAAGATATCAATGAGAAATGGGAGGTATCAGCAGGAAACTGAAAATGGAAATGCTGAAGACAGGTATGGCATAGTAATTTTTGAGTGACCCAAGTTGACTATTTTAATTTAAGCAAGTCTGGGAAGAGATGGTACATGCTTACCCATAAACCTGTTGTGCCTTATCTGCTGTTCTTCACCTGTGTTCCTGCCTCCATTGAACATATTCCCATTAAGTGGGAATATATATCAAGTGGGGAAGCAATGAAAATGTCAGTTACAGCCAGACCAAGAAGACCCCAAAAAACAAGAAAACCTTCACAAATCTACACCTATTTTTCAGTCTTCTCAAGAGCAGATTCAAGCTTTTTTCCTTAAGATAAATGAATAAGGACTGATGTAATTCAGCATTTAATTACACACCTTACCTTGTCTGAATATTTGTACTTTATTAGACTTAGGAGACCAAAGGGCCAATAGAGGTGGTGATTGTCTTATAAACACAAAATGTTTCTGTTCTGATTTACTGTGGAACAAAAGAAGCTGGGGGGGGGGGGGCCACACTTGGAGTTTTAATAAAAAACCCCTACCCCTTTCCCC